TTTTTTTTTTCGCTTCCCGACGGAACAAGCATGCTGATGCTGAAACGTATGGACCAGCGGGAGCAGAATTTCTCACGAGGGTCCTCAATTTGTCTCTGACCACCCTGAAGATACCCGACGTGTGGAAAATGGGTAGGGTGGTCCCGCTACTTAAACCGGGAATCCAGCCAACAAAGGAGAGTACTATTGGCCGATAACTCTCCTCTCCCCAGGAGCGAAGACACTTGCTCCCGACCTTCACTCACCATCTGCGTCCAGCAGCGCATCAGCATGGCTGCCGAAAAGTGCACAGCACCACAACAGCACTTAACGCCATAAACACCCAGATAGTCCATGGCCTCAACCAACACCGACCCTGCACGCGAACTGTCCTAGTAGCACTGGACTTGTCAAAAGCTTTTGACATAGTCAATCACTCAGTGCTGCTAACGGACATAGAGGAATTCTCATTACCGCCGGGGTTGCAGAGGTGGGTCATTGGCTACCTGCGTGGTCGACAATCATCGGTAATATTCCGAGGTGTAACATCTAAGCCCAGACTGTACGATAATGGCGTCCGGCCAGGATATTGATGACCTCTGTTCGAAAGTAAACGGCTACCTCGCTGATCTCTCCCACTTTTTCACTGCAAGACAACTACGAATCCAACCGAAAAAATCCTCGGCTACCCTTTTCACTAGCTGGACGAAGGAATACAGGCCTGAACTGGATGTGAAGTGAAGGTCGATGACACAAAAATTCCGACGGTAAATAACCCAAAAATAGTGGGAGTAACTCTAGACAGCCTGCACTCCGCATACGACCGCAATTGCCGCAAAACTCCAGAGCCGCAACGAAATACTCAAGGCCGGCAGCACCTGGGGTAAAGATAAAGAAACCTTGCTGGCTACTTACAAAGCAATTGGCCGGCCGGTCGTAAACTATGCTGCACCGATCTGGACGCCGGGGACGAGCGAGACGCAGATGAAGAAGCTACAGGCTTTCCAAAACACCGCCCTCAGGACTGCGACAGGAAACCTCCTGATGTCGCCGGAGCATCACTTGCACAGGGAAGCATCTATGCTACGAGTTAAGGAGCGTAATGCTTTGCTGTGCAAGCAGTTCCTATTGGGATGCTACCGCAGGGAGCACCCCTGTAGGCACCTAAAAGAGGCTGAACCTCAACCTAGGCACATCAGAAAGGGAGTACTAGATTTCAAGGACACAATCCAGCAACACACACAACAACCGCTAGACAGGACGCCGTACCGACAAGCACTGAACGCCATTCAGCAGGAGTCAGTCAGCACCTTCATGGACTCCCTTCCAGTGAATGGCGTACTCAGAGAAATACCACCACCCATAGCAGACAACGAGCTCGAGCTGCCTCGAGAGAACCGCGTGACCCTGACACAACTCAGGTTTGGATATTGTAGCAGGTTAAACTCCTACCTATCCAGACTAGACCCCAGCATACGTAACGTATGCCCGGCATGTGGAGAATAATCGCACGACACTCACCACCTCTTCATTTGTCCCCTCAAACCCACTCATCTAACCCCCTTTTCCCTTTGGTCCAACCCCGTCGAAACAGCTTGTTTCCTGGACCTACCACTAGATGACCTCGGTGACTTAGACTGATCAAACCTGTGCCTAAGCAGGGTTAGCGAACCGCAACAACAACACCTAGTTTATTCTAGGATGCCACCCAACGGCCAATGGATTTTTATGGGGAGCTTTCAATTCCATATCAATACATTGTGAAGTGTTCACAGCCACATCGAGGTAGGGCGTAATAAAAAAAATTTGTTTTCTATTATTCTGGATGTTGGTAGTATCAGAACACAATCCCTGGCCTTCGTGTGTCAGCACACACTGCTAACCACTCAGCTATTGCGGTGACCCGCCTTTGTTTCGCTATACGTAAACCAATATTACAAATAATTTGATAAGCCCAGAATTTCTTTAAATTATGCTTATAATTATTGTTTTTTTTTAATTTTTTATTATTTTCTAGAGAAGGTTTGTCTAAATTATCTTTTTAACAATGCCAATGCATTCCCAAGTAGTTGAGCACTTCTACGAAAATCACTATCAGGATATTCAAAAATATTTTTCTCTGAGAAACATCTGAGCCATCCTCATTAAAATATTGAAACAGGAGGCAAATATTTTTTTGAAGCCTCTCAGAAATTTTTTCTTGCTGTTGAGCATTTCTTAAACCTTTTCAGTTTATTACTGATACCTTTTATTCAATTTTAAAGTCAAGACAGGTTATAAACCCTGCTTAACTGTATATCTAAATCATTTTTGATCCTACTTGAACACACATAGTAACTATGATCAAAATCGATTCAGCCATTGAGTATGACTTCAGTTCAGTGAAGCTGTTCTCGAATTTATTACTTTAGCTTATTACTGTTAATAGATTGGGACGATCTTCGAGGCTACTGACAAAATATAATACGTGGATGACTTATTTGCAATTGTCAATGAACTAGGTACAAGAACACTTGATGGAAGGCTACCATACTCGGATTCTGTTAAAATAAAACAAGGAAACCAATTAAAATTATGGTTGTATTAGAAATAAAATTAATGCTAAAGAAAATGACTTTGATAAACATTTATCAATGTATTATTAAAGAATTTTCAATTACGAAATCTACAAAAAGCGATAAAGTACTCTATAATATTCAAGTCAGTAACTTATGTGCCTCAAATCCGAACAAACAGTAAAATCAGACTGCTCCGACAAAACCAGAATAAAAATTTCACACAGACTCAAAAATCTTTTAAAAGACATTTTCAATAGTACAAATTCAAAAATACCAAATTTCGACAAAGCAATATAATTTACGAAAGGCAATAACAATGAAACATGGGGATATATATATGTACGTAGTAACAACTAAATCGAAACTAAAATCAGAATGACAGAACATAGTCCGACTATGAACTACATCAAACGATTACACAAAAGCCGCACTCTTAACTCACTGTGCAACAAGTGGCCACTTTCTCAATTGTGAGAAAGTAAAAACTCTTCAACGAGAACAACACTATAGAAGGCGGTATACATTAGAAACGCGTTATACATAAAAACACCAACAAACGCGAGACTAAACTTTAAAACAGGCACTGATAATTGCACTTACTGGTACAGACAGTTGCTAACGAACGAATCGACAGTACGAAGCTCCACGTCACACGGTTAAGACGTGAAAGGTAGTGTATAGTATGTATGTTTGTGTTAAAATTATTAAATAAGGTAATTTATTGTTTATGTTTTTTGTTGTCATTAGTTATCATGAAGACGGATACCGATGTGTATCCAAAATATAAAGGAAAAGTAAATTAATATTCTGTTTATTATTTATGTCGACCTCAAGCCGGTCAATAATTTGAATTTAAAATGATAAAAATAAAATTAGGACATAAAATAGAAAAGCTAAAAGTTTTATAAGTATTCCAAAATCATGCATAGAAAAATGCAACGCTCACATATTTATTTACTCTTTTTGCAATGTTTCATTTGAACCAATTTCAATTATACCTAATTAGTTTTAAATAATGATACTGAACCATTCAGATTTCATAGCCATAAAGTTGTGGCCATGCAGTATTTATTTATTTATTTATTTATTAAAACTGAATTTATAATAACAAGTTATTGTGCAGTGTGATTTACGAGCAACGCAGGCCTTACGCAACGCGGTCATGCATACATATGTATGATGTATACATGTATATGTGTATGTGTAATATAAATAGCAGTGCAACAGTTTTCTTGCTAACTAGTATGAATTGATACCGAATAGCGTTGGTTACTTTTGGCCACTAATTACTATTAGTTATTAACAAAATCAAATACGTAAAAGTTGTTTTATATAATTTATTTTGTAATGATTCTCTCAATTTTCTATTTAGCAAAAGTTAATAAGTTTCTCGCCTTAATAAAGACAACTTTTATTCTAATATCTAAAATTTCTTGCTTGCTAATTTTTATATACCTTTTTTTTCATAGAACATAATTATAGTAAGTAGTAAATCTTTCATAACATTTGCATATTTAATTCCTATGAGGAGGAAGCCACTACGCTTTCAAATCGATGGAGGCTCGTGAATTTTTTAATAATATTTCGCTGCGGTAAATAAAATTTTGAAATTGTTCTAAAATGTAAGGAAATAATAATGTTTTTTTCTGAACAGAACAGAATACTTTCGGGTTACAGAAATTTTGTCACACTCGTTTGTTGCCTTTATTGGTTATTTGAATATTTTTCACTATTACTAATCGCTTACATGTCCAACATATATGCGGATACGTATATTTAGATCGACAAGTATATATATGTATGTTGACAAAGCAGCAACAGATTACCGAATTGTTACGTTTAAGAGGAAAAGATTGAGAAATAGCATAATTTTAAAAGTAAACTACTCGTATAATTCATTTTACCTGAGCATTGCAGCCCATGTAAGTAGTCATACATATGCATATTAACATTGACTAGGCACAAACTTTACTTCATAAAATATTCTTACCTCGCAACACATCAGCTGGTATTAGACGTTTGTAAATTTTTAATTCACTATCACCGTTGTTTAGACTAGAGTTTTTTGCATCTTGAGCAGCACCGTATAGAAATAATGCCACAAAAATAACCAAAGACGCTTTCATTTTGTATCTCAACTACAAGGCAATTTATATTTGAAAGAAATTTTTACAAACATATAAAATTTAAATTATTATTAAAAAAGTATGAAGTACGAATATTAAATACGGTGTTACTGAATTGTGTTTTTGTGGTTTAAATATACTGGTTTGTGAAAAAGCAAAGGCAGCTAAAGAAATGATCGTAACCGATAAACTACCAAACCGTATATTCTAACGAACCGTTGGAGTTGAAAGTGTATACTCAATTAAGTTTAAACCATGTACAAAGACTGGTATATATAGCCAAAGTTGCTTTTAGAGCACCGCCACCAAGCAGTTAGCTGAGCTTTACAGTAAAATAAAATAGTTTTCCATCAAGAGCGTAATGATACAATGATACTCACCATTTTTGGACCACGTTCGTACATACGTACACATGTAATATACGAACATAAATGCCTAATCAGGCTGTGTACCCTGCGCGCAAATACTCCATGTATACATAAAATATACGTAAACTCCACTGCAAACGTTTTATTGATCACGATTTCAGGGAATGCACATGGGAGATCCGGTTACTTAATTGGACAGGTGCCACAAGTCGGTTGATGTCCAAGTAAGAGTAAAAGCTGTCACAGTTCCTGCCCAAGAATTGTGACAAACGATAAAAGCACGGAAACGTGTAGATCTATAAGAAATTCACTTTACCGGCAATCTAAAGGGGTACAAATTCGGTTTCGGATTCGTAGTATAAACGTTCCTTACAAAATGTCTTGAATTTATTAACATCAATTGAATGCTCGCATGAATTATGAATGATCTTCTAGTCGTGTTTCCATCATTAAAATTCCCATCTTCGTTTTGCTTGGGTATGCTTACACGTAGTCTCATTTTTACCACACCATTTCCTGAATTTCCGTTCTCCGAGTAACCAGTTAAATTTTATTAGCCTGGGAAATATGCCATTTTAGAACTTCAAGTCTATAGGATATGTTTAACACAAACTCAAATATTCGAATCCATGCATGTAATGGACTGATATCAAATTTAAAGTCATTAGTTTTTATTTACAACGTTCGGAATCAAAATCAGTGACTTCGAAGAGATTTTTTATTTCATCCCCATATATTGGGCAGCACTGAGTTGATGAAGTTCCAGTTAAAACGTTAAGTACTTTTTCATCAATAGTTGTTATCTGTGGTTTAAGGGTAATGACAAGTGTTTTGTCCTCTTTTCATATCCAAATATTTTTTCTCTTAATATTTTCTCCTGGGACCTGGGCAAAATATTCCGAAATTTTTTTTTGAATTGGTCTGCAAAGAGCTTTGGCAAATTGAAGTGCTGAAAATGCTGTTTGGTAAGCCCATTTTCTTTCGCATTGATAAGTCCGTATTCTATGCAATATTACTTTCTAATTTTGGCTTTAAGCGAGTTCCAGCATGTGAGTAATTTAATTTTAGTCTCCCCATTTTTTCTTGAGTGGTTAACTTTTAGTCTTAACATCATACGGTTGCATTTAGGCAAATATTTCTTGGTATGGGTTATAAAACTCACAACATTTGCATCAATTTGAAGAACTTAATGCCGATAGTGTTTGACTTTATTTATATTTGAAACCTTGAGGACCTACTGTTTATACTAAGCCGTCTCCGAAAAGTGGTGGTTTTTCACGAGGAACTTCATGCCATGTCAGAAATACATTAGAAAGGGTTGACATTCCCTGCACAGGGGCGACCGTAATTTACCTCATTTTTTATTTAAAATAATTATCTATAACTTTTTGAATGTTAAACGACAGGATTTGAGCCCGAGTGACAGTATGCAATGGTCGGCTACCGCGACCACCGGATCCCAACTACATACATATATAACTGACACTTTGTAACCGCTAAAGCAATTTTCGCCCGCTGGTTTTGGGTCTTGATGTTTTTCCACCAAATGGAGTGGCCTACAGTTTATACTAAACCACCTTCGAACGGCTGATGGTTTTTTTATGAGGAGCTTTATATCATGTCAGAAATACACTCGGAGGGGTTGATATTCCATTTGCTAAATTTTAGCTGCAAAACAAAAAAAAACTCGTACAGCAATTGGCGATACAAGACAAAACATACAGAACACACCAAAACTAACATACAACGCTGATTCTACATACCTTTACGATTATTAGCCATATTTCCAAACAAAGCCACAATAAAGCTTAGTAATATGCACCGTTTTATTTCAATAGGTCAAGCCTGCATTTGATGAGATGAGTTTGTTTGCGTGAGTTAAAAACGTTAGTAGAAATATTGAAAAAAAAAAATCCGAATGCGAAACTAAAACGTTGGAAAAATCTTATTGAAGAATACGGTGCTAAACTTGTTTTTAAATCTGGTCACCAGAATGTCATAGTAAATGCGCTTTCGCGACAGCAAATCAATAATACAGCAAATTGTTCCGATGATTCACAAATTTCTCCTGTCGAAACCATGAGGAAAAGATAAACAGCCACAAGGAATAAAGTCCTGAATCAAACAATATTTCCCAGCCAAATTAGACACGCAATAATTTATAGAGATACCACGGATTTACTAGCTAAGATGTAGTTAACCCAAAAGTCACTAATGCGATAAAGATATAGGTGGAAATACTAATTTGCCATCACAAATTGTAACCTGGTGCAAACCCAAAATAAGTTAAACAACGTAACTTCTTTAAACGAACAAAGAGAAATCATCACACAAACACATAAACTTGCATATAGGAAAAACAAAAATAACACGCAAGAGTTATTGTTGACCAATTACTGGCCCAGTTTTAAAGAAATGCGCCGTAACGTAGTCATAGGCATGTCGGTACATCATTCGACATCAAACGGTCAAATTGATCGAATACATAGTATTATTGAACTTTGGCAAAGTTTTGCTGCAGACAATAATACACTTCGTTCTGAAGAATTATTCAACACAGTTCGCCAATACAATAGGACAGTTCACTTCACAGCAGGACTATTCACTCCACAACAGGATATTAGCCCGAGGACGTTTCTAATAGTCGAGAAATATATCCTGATATCAAGGACTTAATTTAGGATAAATAGCATAAACTACTCAGACACCACAATAAAAAAGGAAAGCCATAATATACAAACCAGATTACATAGTTTAGAGTGATCCCTTCCACTTCAGACTGCGCTTCTGGTATTGTCTAGCGTCATTACACAGCCTTTTAAATTTTGAGGGGATTCCAACTTTAGACGTAGCGGCGTAAAGGCAGCTTCTATTCGTGCTGCGAAGGCGGCTTAAAATCGACGAACAAGTGATTTGGTTTAATACTTATTTCAGGTCTAACTGCCACACTGATAAGGTCCAATCACTTTGATTCATACAAAATGCTCGATAGGTCCTTATGTGTGATGTTAAGGAGGCCTATCCCATGGCTGTTGGCGTAGACTGTGGGATCACCCTTTTTAAGGATTGTGAAGAGTACACTTAAATTCAAATCGTCGGGCATGCTTTCATCGGACCATGTTTTGCAAACAAGCTGATGCATGCACCTTCTCAGCTCTTCACCGCCATGTTTGAATAGCTTTGCCGTCAACCCCAGCCGTTTTATTATTTTTTAATCGGGCAAACGCTATTCGAACTGCAACATGCACAGCTAGGTGAACGTCTGTTCCATCCTCTTCGTTCCGGAATTCGGGCTCACCATTTCCTGGTGTTTCATTCTTACTGCCGTTCAGCAGTCTGGAAAAGTGTTCCATCCAAAAAATTCAGTATACTCTGGGCTTCCGTCACTAGATCACTCCTCTGGGTCGTACGGTCTTGAAACCTTCCGCAAGTCTCTGTTGCTTTTTGTAGAATTTTCCAGCATTACACTTGTCGTTCATCTTCTCAAGTTCTTCATACTCCCACATTCCGGCGAGGTAAGCAGCCTGTTTTCTTCCTACTGTGATACGGTAAATCCAATAGTTTCATTTGCAGCTGCACGTAGTGAGCTTGAAATGCCGTTCCACAGCTTCCTTATATCAAGTTGCTTTTGAGTCTTCTCAAAAAGCAGGTGTGCGGACCAAGTAGAAAGTCGCTAGGCACTTTGTTCTGCTTCAACGTCGAAGCTTACTTTTATTTGTTGACGGATCGCCTTTGATATGCCTTAGGCGTGTGCGTATCTTCGTTGCGACAAGATAGAGATCCAATTCGATGTTAGGACCTCGGAACGTACGCACATCTAAAAAAAATGTATACCTGGTTTCCGTCTAATACAACATGATTGACCTCATTGAAAGTTTTTCAATCTGGAGGCAGCCAAATAGCTTGGTGAATTTTCATCTGCTGGGATCTAGTGCTATAGACAGCCATATTTCTGGCCCCGCCGAAATCGGTCAGATTCAACCCATTTGGGAATAGTTCGTTGCGGAGGCCTTGTGCCGATGTTGTGCCTCTTTGCCCACCCTGACATTAAAATGGCCAAGCAGAATATCGACATCGTGGCTGGGGCAGTGCTCATAAATATGTTCGAGGTGCTCGTAAAAAGCATCCTTGGCCACATCGTCTTTCTCTTCCGTCGGGCGTGGGCGCAAGTCAACGATTTGTTACACAGTTTTGCTAAGATACGGATTGTGGCGGGATTTTCCACTGGAGGAAATGCGAGTGCTCACCGACGGAGTCTCTTTCCCACCACAAATCTGACGCCAAATATACGCTCTTTTTCCGTTCTTCGCAATTCTCGAACGGCAGTGATGTCAGCCTTTAATTTTATGAGAACATTAACAAGCTGTACTCTTCTTCGTCCCTCCCGCAGCGGAAGAATTCGTTAATGTAAAAGCCCATCCTAATCCCGTGATGCCCCATTAAACAGTGTGCAGTCGCCATGCTAATAGAGAACCGGTCCAGAAGAATAAGATGCTTAGATTTGTTCGTGCCTAATTTCGGCCATAGCTGCCTGGTCACGTTACCCGTGAGTCAGCTTTCCTGGTGAAGGCCAGTTTAAACATGTACTTAGTCGTGTACTTTGAGAGTTCGTTGAGAGTGTTTGCAGCCTGACTATCGGAGTAGATTGTTACTGATTGTCCTGTTGCCGTAGATTTATGCAACCACTCCGCGGCCTCCATGATTGCGAAGAGCTCCGCCTGGAAAACGCAGTAATGATCCGGTACCCTGATGCTAATGCGTACTGGAAGCACGGAGGAATAAATTCCGCAACCCACCCTCGCATTGACCTTCGAGCCGTCTGTGAAGATGGCTTCCCTAGTGGGGGAAGTTGGTATCTTCCCACCCACATCTGTTTGGGATTCTTGCGGAGAAAAGAATATCGAAGATTACACGGGAGGGGGTGTAGTCCAGCTCCTTCAGAACTTCTGTA